TCTCAATGAAGTTCAATTACAGCCTGATTTTTTTTTTATTCAAAAAGATAATCTTTGACAACACTTAAGGTTAGAAAAGTAAAAAGGTACTAACTTTAATTAAATATCTTTTTAATGAATGCTCACTTGTCTTTGAGCACAATGAGGGAAACCACTTCATCAGTTTCTGTTTAAGAAATTTAACACAAAGGCCCACGACCAGCTGCTGACAACCCATGCTAACACCTGTGCACAGGCAGTGGCAAGTGCACAGGCATGCACAGCAGCCTAACACTGCTTAGAGAAGTTTGTAAATCAACAAGAAAAGTACTAGGAAAGGGAATGTGTTTATACTGTTTTAAACCAGCTAAAAAGTAGGTTGAAGATCTGCATTCAAATCCAGTTCTGCCAGCTCCATGCAACAGAATACTAATCAAAAAATGCAGGTTCACAACTTTACAGAGATGATATCCATTGGGTGCAATCACCAAGCTATAGTTTTTAAAGGCAGTTGAACAGGAACACAATGACATACTGAAGCATTAACAAATGTACAAAGTTTATCAAGGAAAATTAAGTTAAAATGAGTAAAGTATCAGATTTGTACTACAGTACTCTTGCAGACAATAATTTCCTAAAACCAGAAAACAGAGCCTCTCCCACCACACCAGGGCAAGGGAAAAATATTTATTTGTTTAACTGATAGATGGTTAACAGCTGATTCACATTAGCTCCTGCAACACAGTTTCATTTGGGAGCTAAATGAACACCACAAGTGAGGCATATTTTAAGTTTCCTCTCACAAACCCCACTGAGGCTCCTTGGAATACGGGTGACTGAACCAGACTCCCCCTGGAGCTCAGCAGTTCTTCCCCTTAACTGACCTAGACAACTGTTTTTTAACAATACATGATGCACTCCCTCCTCACCAAAGGCTTGCTTTCCATGTTTAGCTTTTCAACAGCTTTGTCATCAGCACCTCTGACTCAAAGCCTCAAGCATCAGCCTCCTGCACGGTGGCACAGATGGAACTTAAGCCTCACAGGCCATCTCATCACTCCTTGACTTGGAATCCAAATACAAGCAGGTTCCTGTTTAAAAAGGCAATAGCTCTCATTATGCTGAGCTCCTAGGTTTGATTGCAGAATGGCAGTAAAATCCCTTTGTGAATGAAGACTCTTTCCAGCTAACACCTGTGTGGGACCTCTCACAATCTTACCAGCTGACGTGTTTGAAAAGCACGTTCTTCTGCGTGTCATAACGGGTAAGGGAAAACCAAACCAAAACAAAACCCATCCCACCTCCCCCTCCTGCCCCAGCAACCCAAGGCATGCTTATTCTTTGAACTGGAGAGCAGCTGAGCTGACATGTGGCTCACTTGCCAGGTTCTGAAACTGCAGTGCTGGGCAACTCTAGGATTTTGATATTCAAACTCTGTATTTGTGCCGCCAACATTTAACCTCACATTCCAGGGCGGGGCTGGGCTCAGAGCCTGGGACATTCCAAAAAGCATTCCAGCCAGCAAGGCCCTGGAGGTAGACCCTCAGTGAGTGCATCCACACTAAAGGCTGGTAAAAATATCTCTGCATTCCCATTCACGTTTCTAGTAAGCAGAATACAGGGAGGACAAGTTGCAGTTCTCCCCATACCCATGGACCACACTTTGGCAGGTATCATTACAAATACTCTCTGCAGCATCATTATCAAGTAAAAAAAACACAAATGCTCTTTTGTTGGCTGATGGTACCCCTAGGACAAAAACCCCTCCAGTTGCTTCACAGAGTTCCATAGGATTAACTGTGAAACATTTTCACTAAGCAAATACTTAAAATAGAGCACAGCTTTCATCAGTATTGACCAAGTATTAATATTCACACCACAATAAAATTAAAAAAAAAAATTCTGAAAAGTGAAGCTAAATATCCTGCAACCCAGATGTGGTCTCAATTGCCACCCTATGCAAGAATGCTGAAGTGCAATGGCTGGGTTGGTAAATACTGCAGAAGACAGTGGATTTTTGTGCCAACAGTAAAAATACCTGCCACCTTCTGTTTCTGGAAGGTACAGCAGGGAAGAGAAGCACGGCAGAAACTCACAGACAGTAACCATTTGCTCTTTAAAAGCAATGTCAATGTAAGGATTTCTAGGAGGAAAGCACTGGTCACTGAAGTAATTACTTTCCCACCAGCGCTGAGAAGGGAACACACACAATAAATAGAGTTATCCTATCTGCAGAACTGGTTAGGATGAATTCAATGATCAAAGTTGTCACACATTAGTTGTAACAGAGTTACAAGGAATGAAAGTATGTAACAAAGTCATTAAATCACAACATTCTGGCAAGCACATAGATATATATATACAAGTGCAACATTTCTTTGGTTCTTCCTGAAACTGATCAAAGGTGTCAAATGTTACATTTTCTAGCCATTTGCCAGAATTACAGCCCTTCTATATTTAGCATTAAAAGCTCATTCCAACAGAGTGACACCTCACTCTGATTTTCACAGGCTCTGTTTGGCCTATCCATAGATACAGCACAGACAACCCCATCAGTGTGTACAACCACTGCAGACAGCTAAGAGAAGTGTAACATTGGCAACCATGTAATAATTTCAGGAAGGATTTGAAAACATGAGGTTATTAGAAAACAGAAACATCCCCGTGCAAGCACCCATTTGATTTAATACACACACTTTGCAGGCAAGTATTAACATAGAATTTGTTTAACTCATAGCAAACTATGCAGCCAGTTTATCCAGCTCTCTCAATCAACCAAGCCAAGGCACATATTCTGTAATAGGAGCAATAAAGCACCTCCAGGCTGGTATTCATGCAACCTGTGTCAAGGTATCTATCTTCAACTACAGCTGAAGAATAGAACCCAAATGAACCCAAGACTTACACCTCCTCAAGCAGCACTGGAACACAAAGCTCTCACCACAAACCTGTGCTCTGGATTGCATGGAGGCACTGGCTGGAAGGAAGCAATAGGGAAAGTCTGCACAGGCTGTACCTCACTAAGGAGGCAGGAGGAGGCACATTCACATCACATGACAAAATACCAGAAATAACACCCCCAAGGTACAAATACTGTTATGAAGGCCTTGGCTCCTAAATTCAATGATCCTATCTGACTTCTGTAAGAAGCTCAAGTCAGTAGTGACACACTTTCTCTTGAGTAATTTTTTGGGGTTTTCTGGGTCAAAAGAGAAATAACATGCTTCTCATGACTGACTTATCTATAAACTCATCCCAATCCACTGGAACTTCCACTGATCCACAGTAATTGCTGTCATACAAGTCCGCCCTGTACTTAGGCACCACCACCTGTATTACCCAAAGATTCAATTTTCCTTTTAGACAGACAATGATTACAAGACTAAGCCAGATGTGTGGCAATGGGTACAAATTGAAATACTGGACAGTCCATGTAGAAGAAGGAAAAAACCCCACTTCTGCTTACCTTAAGAGTGCTCAAACACTGGAATGGCTTGCCAAGAAAGCTTGTGGAGTCTCAATCCTTGAAGATCTGCAAAACCCAGTTAGACAAGGTCCTGGGAAACCTGCCCTAGTTCAGCCTGCTTTGAGCATGGGGTTTGGACCACACAGTCTCCAGAGATCCTTTCCACACTCAAACATTCCATGATTCTATCACATTAGACCCTGCAAATGACACTGGTAGCAGGATCTAAAAATTACTTTTTCTTTATTATTGTGGCTTCAAATAGTTCTGACAAAAGATAGAATTTATAATAGGAAAAGGGTTACTTCTGAAATTTCTGATTAATACTGCAAATTTTTTAGTGCTTCATAGCAAAACTGTAGCACTAAAATAATATCTAATGTAAATATATTAAAGTGTGTTTACTGTAATGTACAAATTGAACAAGAAAAATTTCTTTCTTCCTAGACTGTATAGATTTACTGTAAATTACTCCAATCTAAACAGCGGACATTTGAACTTCACAATCCTGAATATTATCTGTTAAGATATTGTTCTTCCTTTTTAAAAGAATGGTTTAATGTGGCACTACCACTTGAGGAAAAGAATAGAATTTTTAAATAGAAAGATTCTTTATGAATTACAACCAAATGAATTATATCTTATACATTCTTTATACAAAGTACTTTAGAGATCATGGCATGATACAGCCCCATCAATTTGTTTTCAGACCAGAGCTGATAATCTCAAGATCCCTCACACTGTTGAGGGAAACTAAGCCACTGTTTCAATAAACTGTTAACAACAAATATCTCTGAATTCTTTTGGCATTCTTTTGTGGATTCAGAACTCTAATTTGAGTCAGACAAGCTCAGCTGAGTTGCCATGAATTAGACAGGGTCTGTATCCTCTCTTGGCATACAGCATTTACTTACAGTTTACTTTAATAGGAAGTTGTGATGATGTTGAAAACAAAGAAGAGAACATGGGCCTTTGATCAAGACCCCTGTATCACTAACAGCTGATTACTGAGACAAACAAGGTCACATTTCAAGAACATACAAGGCCATATTTGGATGGCCATTACTGCAAGTAATCTACTTGTAGACATTTACGAGGACTTTCAAGTTCAAAAGACAAAAAGGACAAAGTCAGTGCTACCAGGCTTTGCTCCAGTTCCTTACTGGAAAGACACAATTGTTAATACCTAAGACCAGGAAAGGACAGTTAATTCTACTGCCATATTTCTGAAGGTAAAAAGTAGTAGAAGTTATCACAGAAGAATGTTATTTTAATGCTTGTCTTAAAAATTGTAAGTCCTTCTTTCGGAAAAAAAAACATTTTCTTGATACGAGGGGTGTAAACAAAGTTTGCAAAATATGCATAAAACTCAACTGACACAACCATGTCTACTTTGCTACTAATTACTTTCCTACATTGATTTTTCTGATTTACTACACAGCTCCAACACACAGTTACATTCCTCTGTTTGTGGATGATGTATTAATACATCTCTTACCTGTACACTGTAGACTCATTAAAAATAAAAAAGCAAGTAATGAAATCAATGACAAAATTGCTTTGAAAATACCTGATATTTTAAAAAAGTTTATTATTAGGATTACCTTCTCCACGTTCTTTAAAATCAAGTTCTTAATTATCATCTGAAAGGCACCATAGAGACAGTGAGTGGTGAACAGTAAACATCTCAGTGGCATTTTTCACAACTGGGAAATTTATCTGTCTCTGAGAGAATCCAAATGAAATGTGAACAGCAAGATATACAAACAGGAGCTCATTTGTAGCTGCATAGGCATGAAACCTCTAATTTCCATTAATTCCATGCTACCGTGGCATCTTCAGCACATTCATGTCAGAAGTGTCTTCAATAAAATTAGCTTTTTTATGGGAAGGCTCAGCAAGGTCCTCTCCATGGTCTCTGCTAATCAAGGGCTGCTGGTCCCCCCTCTTGCGTTTGTTAATCAGGTGATTTTCTCCCTCACAGAGCTTTCCCTCTGGGACACCCAACGTTCTCAGACAGACAATAGCTGCAGCCTGCTCTGCCAGCTTCTTGGACTTGTCCCTGAAGAGCAAGCACACAGAGCACACGTGAAAGTAGAAACTGAGGTCTCTACACTGCCAAGAGACAATTTCCTGTCTCTGATGCAACATCATGAAACAAACAGCATTTGTAGTCATCTCACAGCAGAAAAACAAACCACGTCACTTCCAGAAATTATTTCAATCTTGCTAGGTGTCAAGTGTTGATGCATTGCTCCTGATGCAATATTCCTAGAAAATCTGTCTCTATCAGGGCTTGTCTCTTAACACTCTCCATGCCAATGGTACACAGCCAATGTGTGTTTGGTCCACAGAAAGGTAACTTTTACAAATCTGATCACTAAACAAAACTGAGTTATGAAGGATCAGTTTTCTTGAAAGAGGCTCAGGCATAAGTATACTCTCTGTCAGTTGTACAAGTTCATTGATGCTGACAAAAGCAGGAACTGTTCCATAATAATAAAAATTCTGCCATTTCTGAGAAAAACTGCCCATCACACATTTGTGGAAGTCAGTATTCGAAAACATTTTCTTCTCAAAATTTCCTATCAGCTGAGCATAACTTCCTAAAGTCTCTGAACAGGAAGGCTGCAAAGCAGTTGTGTGCACTTGTCCTGTTTAAAATGTTCAATGCTGAGCTCTAGCTTTGCAGTTAAATCAAGATCACCTTAGGTGCAAATGCCTCAAATCAACTCTGGTATTAATAGTTGATTGTATAAAATACCACCAAGAAACTTTAGAGCAGGCCTGGATGGAGCTGCTAATTAACTGTGATCTCCAAGAACTCAGTGCACCGTCCTCTGCTTTCACTGGATATAGACACTTAGCCCGGACCTCTCATTGGGAATGGATCTGCTGCAGTGGCTGAAGACATAACCTCCTCCAACATTCCCTCTGCCTCCCTTGGCTTCTCTCTGAACTCATCACATACAGAATGGAACTGGGTCACCCATTTGCTCCCCTTCCAATACAACTTGTGGACTAACACAAAGTGAATTCAAATCTGTAACTGTTTACTTGATTATGCCAGTGCTTACTTCCTCTTGTCACATTCACTTCTCAGAAGTTTTTAATCCTTTCTCCTTCCTAGAAGTAGCTTTAGGAGGTAGCTTTCAGTTGACCTTTATCAAAGTCAACTGGAATAAACTGGAATATCCTTTTAATGCAAGTTTTTAAGCAACATTTCAGAAACAAAAATACAGCTGAAAAACCCATTAAGGATGGCTTACCACAGAGTTGATCGGTATTTTTGCTCAGCTACTGTCACTACTGAACAGAATAATCTATCCAGTGGTCTTTGAACCTGTAGACAAAAAGAATTAAAAGGGAAGGGGCTGTCAAATACCAGTCATGAAATTTACAGAAGAAATATCATCGACATTCCTTCATAGGTATAAAGAAAAGAATAACAAGTAACATAACTTTAAAATTACTCTAATTCACACCACCAATTTCACCATATATATTTAACATTAAAAAAATTAAGGAATTGTCCAAGCTACAAATATTTTTGCTTTACAAAAATAAAAAGTAATCCAACAATGTCCCCATGTAACCAAACAGCCACTCCTGTCCCATACAGTTCCTATCTGTAACAGTGTGCAACAGAGAAAACATTCCAAGATTTAATTCTTTACTTCACAGAAGCAGTAAAAGAAAGTCAGTCATGGGCTCCTACATAATGACCAAGAAGTTACAGCAACTTCTTTCACAAACGAATCAAAGGCAGACTGAAGGTCTGACTTTTAATTTTTTATTTTCTAATAAATAAGCTGTTGTTGTCATACCTGTGTGCATTACCATTTCTGCAGCTGCTTTCTGAAAGAGCTACACCAGACTGGAAAGCAGAATTTAGGACCTTGAGTCCTAAAATACTTAGTTTCATATACAATGCAAAGGAAGAGGTTTGAAAGGGTTTTTCATTGACTCACAGTTTCATAAACAGGCTGAGGATGCTTTTCTTTCCTACACCATTCCAGAAGATACATTTTTGGAGTGATCTGTGGTGGATATTCTCGCCTAGACAGAAAAATTTGTGGTCAACAACTGTGCACAAAGTTCTATTTTAAAAAGACAGTGCTGCTTATTGTATTACTTCTACCAGTTATTTGAAGTTTAGTTTTACAGCTCAAATTATGAAAAAGATGCTTCTTCATTAGAAGCAAGAAAAAGCTGTGACAAAACATCTAAAATAAACTCTAAAATTTTCCTGAACATTTACTTCCTGTAGTAATACAGCTAGAGAAGAGATACTCAGCAGAAAGGAGATCCTAACTAAATAGGTGACACAGAAGAGAGATACAGTTTGGTACTGCTTATTATAAGCACCAATTAATCACTAGTAGAAAAAAGGAGAAGCTGCTTCTGTTATGAAGCAGTAATCAAATAAAAAAAGCGTAGAAAATGCAGGAATTTAGTCAGTTATTGACAAAGAATTACAGACCCTCATACATGGCAAAAAAAACCCAGTTCTCAAGGAGTCAGGTAATATATCCTCTAAATACTAAAGCATTATGACTGCATTTGTAGACGATTTTACATATGACACCCTTCTTGAGCTGTTTGATAGGCCTATTAGCAAACCCAACAAACATGAGTTTAACATGGAAAGTAACAGCAATTCTATAGGCTTCACAGATTAAAATTAAAAATTATATAAAATAGAATTCAACTCCATTAATTAATTTTTCACAGAATAGCTTATGAGTGGAACACATTTAGAAGACTTCAGATGAGCATCTTCTCTGCTTAGAAGAGTATCAAGAAGTTTGTTCAAGACTTCTTATAGAAAAATTATGTTTTAGTCAAGTTTCACTAAAAATAAATGAACTGTACATATTTGTAATACACTTTTCTACATAGAGATGTTATTTTTTAAATTTTCTTTTAGAGCACTCAGCATTTTCAGCAAGTTAAGTGAGGGAATTAAGCAGTCTCAGGAAGCCTGGAACTAAAGAACATCCTACAACATCCAAATGGCACAGGAAAAGTGGTGATTATGCAATGATGTTCACTTACTGCTTCATAGGAATTCACCCAGTAAGTGCTGTTTTGCAAATCATCATTTTCAAAAAACTGTTAAGACACTGTGAACCTCACAGTTATTATTCAGAGATGCAAGACAGTGAAAAATTTGATTTGCATGCTTACTTGTCAAATCTAACAGCCATTTTTATTACATCTGGATCTTCCATTTGGTCATCTTCATCTTGCACCTTGGTTACTAAAGATGTTTTCTTTGCTTCAAAAATAGCTGTGGTTTCTTCATAGAAGTCACCCATTTCAAAGGCTTCACTATTCAAACAGAATTCCTTTATGTTAGAGATCAGTTTATAAATTTTTGTATCACATTATGACAGAGAAAGAAAATGTAGAAATCAATTGTGTTTACGGTATAGTTAAGAGTACAGAGAATGAAGTGGAAGTGTGGCTGTATTCTGCACAGTGACATTACATTACTGCTACAAGTAGGAAAAGGATGTTCTAATTTCCAGCACTACACATGCAATTTGTAGCCTGGAAGTGAAGGAAGAATCAGTCAGAAATACAGTCCTACAGTGTTCAAGTTATTAGTTCATTTAGTAACTTGCAGCTGGATGAATCAGCAAACAAACATCTCAGAGTGACTCCTGGTGCATCAGCTCCACAAAGGCAATATGAGCAAAAAGTAGGAAAAAGAATCTTATTCTAATTATAGTGATTAAAAATACTCTAAGCAATAAACCCTATAGCATCCAAACCTCTCAACATCTCAGATTTTCTGACTTCAGAGTATCATTCACAAGCCCAAATAAAGAGAAGAAGCAACCAGGATTTTAGTCAAAGGCAAAAGCCTCAAAGCCTTTTAAATTTCAAACTCATGGCAGGCTGGATCTACTTTGAAAAACTGAGACTATTGATTTTTTGCAGATGATAATGGCAATAAAATCTGCAGCATAAAAGAAACTTTTACTTTCTGTTCTGAAGATGCTGGTTGATACAGGGCTGCTCAATGACAAAATGGATTCTGCCCACAAAGCCATCTCCAATGCTCCAAGAAAAAAAGCAATGAAGCTGAACAATACTAACTTATGCTTCTGAGGGAAGGCAATTTATTACATACTGCTACATAAATGTTTTGTGAGAAGAGCAGCAGGCTGTTCTCTTGCATTCAGCACTGAGGTTAAAGCTCAAATGGCTGTAACCCATCCTCACCACCAGGAGACAGCAGAATTATGCACTATAATTGTCTGAAGATAAAACTGCTGCATTTTAAAAAACTGAATGTTCCTCAGTTATCTGGACATGAAACAGGTTGTTCAGAACAGGGGTTAAAAGACCAAGTTTGCTGGCAGAAAGCAGTTTCATAAATTTCCAAATGGCTCTCTCTGTCCCCCTCTCCTGCACACACATGGCCTTTTGAAGCTGGTATTGCATCACATGTACAAAAAGAGAGAGTTTGATTTTGGAAGCCCCTAAAGAATTGTTAGGCACAGCACATAAACCCCCTAGTTTTATACTAGATCTCTATCCAGTGTTCATGTGTATGAACTGTGACACCTCTGATTACCTGTGTAAAACTGTTACATTACAGTACTTGTTTTACATACTATGCATTGCTATTCATGCAGCAGAAAACACCACCACCCTCTGGGCTAAGACTTTATTGAAGTTGCAAAAGATTTGAGTTCTAATCTATACTTTATCTTTGTTCCTAAACTCAAAATCTATAATTGAAATAGATAGTGTGTTAGCATACTAAAACGTGTCAAACTCTTAAAGTTGCCAAAGTGAAAAGCAACTTGCAAAGTTTAAATGTTGTTCATGGATTCCACTGCTCCTTTAAGAATAATGAAGTCAGCTCCCTTCATATATGCAATGCTAACTCCCTTCATTGTACTTTAATGTAATAATCATGGACAGAATTATTTCTAGAAAGTCAAATTGGTAAAAGGCAATAAAATGGCAAAAGGATTGCAGGCATTTCCTTTTGAACATGAAAAGAATGCTGATTAGAGTTTGTTAGAAACCAATACATTCTTTTTCAAAATAACTCAAGCTTTCAACATTCCTATCCATTTTCATATACATTAGATATCAAACAATTTCAGACTGTTCATTTTATAAAAATCAAGGAGACTCCTCTCCTCCCTTCTATCAGAAGCCACACAACATGGATATGACACATGCAAGCTCAGAGCTTTATTTTGTTCAGTTTGAGATGTGTCCAAATCCGAATTCCCTAATTCTGTGCAAATTCTTTATTCATCTGCCTATTTTACGGTTTCTCTCAAAATTTTTGTTCTTTCATTTCTGTCTCTCCCCCTGAGAAATTTCATCCAGTCTGTTTCAGATATGCAGGATGATAAGATTCTTTAAAGCTACTACATTTCCTCAAAAAGGCTGCCATCATTCATTAAGGTATACCACGAATGAAAGCAGCACAAAAAATTACATTAAAGTACCATACAACCAGACAACCCTGATATATGTTTTCGAGTTTCTAAGTGCTCATTTTAAAACAAATATGTTATAAATATTCCAGTAACATTATAAACCTCACATGCAAGTGGGAAAGCTGAATCAAATCCTTGGAAGAATACAAGTTCCACAAAATTTCAGACAAGCTGAAATTTTTCTTAATTACTTCAGGTAAATACTGGATAATTGCTTGTCATTCAGTGCAGCACCACTCAAATTAGTGTGCTGAATACAGAGAGTTTTAGGGTTAAAGATTGAAGATCTGAGCATGGAGGAAAGCTGAAAAAGTTTACTCTGATATTTCACATCTCCCATCCAGATTTTTTGGGGTTATTGCAACTTCTCCTGACAGTGTGAAATGCCAGGCAGTGCTAGATAGAGAAGTGATGTGCAAGTCTGACAGAGCACAACTCCTTTTCTGAAGGCCATGCTTACCAGATCTCCTGTGTGGACTGTGCAGCGTGCAGCTTCTTACCCTGAGTAGTTTCCAACTGTTCTCTTAACATCTGAGACAAGCAGTATTTAGTGTTGGTGTAGTGATTGTCATACCTCACTGCCTGATGGAAAGAGACAAAGAATTCAAAACACCAAACAAATTTATCTTCTGTACTGCACATGGTGTATTGATGACTTCCACAACCATTTTTGAAAGGCAAGCCACAGTGCAGTTTCTTCAGTAACATATTCAACACTACCCATGAATGTGACTATAGTCTGATTATTTTGGCATGACTTCACCAACTAAAGTTCAGCTGACTTATATACTTCTGAAGAAAGAGTTGAGCTGTTTACATCACTGACTAGAAATGCACTGATATTTTAGTAAGTAACTCATTAATAGCAAGCTTAAATTAAAAAAAAAATATCGAATTGATGACATGATCAAAGTTACAGATCTCTGACTAATTTCCTATGATATCATTAAAATATTGGTTTTGAATAATGGATAAAATTTTATATATTAGATTACTTAGCTAATGGAGCTACAGTACTGCAATACAGCATTACTTTATTGGCAAATCATTCCCTTTGCTTCCCTACTGCAAATATTTCTTGACAGTATGTGTGAAAAGTAATTAATTTCTAAAAGTGAATCTAGGAGCAACTGATTTTTTAATCTGTATATAATAATCTGCTCAATTTGTGCAGCTGTGACTTTGAAAGAGTTGGACTACATATTTTTAGATTTCTTTACATTTTTAGATAGCCTGATAAGCCTCATAAATGCTCCCAAGAACAAGTTTTCTGAACATTTTTTTTCTGAACAAAATCAAACAGAGGAAGCAGGGTTGATTTGCAAGGATCATGTAACATGCACTACACTAAAATATCCCCAGAACCAAGTCTTTGAAATGAAGAGGAGTTAAGATGCTGCAGTAGGATTTGAATTAACAATTCTAAACAATGTTAATTACAAGTAAAATCTTCATAAAAACATACATATTTGATGTAATCTTGCATGACATCCTTCAAGGGGCAAAACCCCTCTTTTCTGAAGACAGAGGGGTTCCACATGGCAGCACGAGCAATCATGACTGATGAGGCAGCTGTTGCTTTCTGGAAAGTCTCAATGTCTGCATGCTCCTTAATGAAGTCATGAGATCCTCCACTAAAAATTAACAACACTAATAAAATTAATCATGGTTCTTTTTCCTGCACTTGGAAATCTTAAGTAGAAGCATCTGACCAGAACGAGCTAATTAGTCCAACTTACTTCGCTATTACTGGAATGGAGACAGCTTCAGATATGGCCTTGATCACATCACAGTGGACAGGGTGCTGAGGCCTCTCCTCCTTCTTCCTTTCCAACAAACAAAAAAAAAAAAAGACAAGACCAAAGATTTCCTGTGGAATTTACCTCTAAACCACAGCAGACATGACACAAGGATTATTGGGATATACTCATTTCAGCTTATTTATTTTATATATTTGATTTTTTTAGATACAAAGTATGCAAGATAATGTTAGTTTTATTTGGTCTTTGAGAAAAAATATTTAGGAAAAGAGCAGCAAGCAGTTTAATTCCATAATTACTGACTGGATTTCCTAGAACACCAATTCAGTTAACAGCTGAAATCAGAACCACATATTGCATTTAGAGTATAGAGTATACTCATATCAGTCATATCATACTGTGGTACAGTCATCAAACTAAAAAAATCTAAGTCTTTCTTGCCTAAAATCAATTTACCTTCCATGGACTGCAATGGCAGCAATGCCAGTTTTCTCTATTCTCTTCACCAGGTTCACAGTATCCTCCACCTGAGGGATAAGACAGTCTGACATGATTTTAATTCAAAGCAAAAGGAATAACTATCATGTGACCATTGTACAAACAAATGCTGAATTCTTCTTTAATCAAGAGAGATATGATTCTTGTCTTTCATCAATAGCATAACATGTGCAACCATTTAATATATACTTCAATTAAAGAACTATATGCCATGGCCAAAAAAAAAGAATCCATTTTCAATGCTTCCTTGAACCTACCAATCTCAAACTTTCTCAAACCAGGTAACATAATACTCTGTAGCAGGAGAATATTTTCCAAAGGCTTTCAGACTATCAATTGAAAATGACTGGAACATTTGATTAGCAAGTCCTCTCTAATGACTCCTCTGTAAATTGTAATTGAAATGTTTTTCAGTAAGAGGATGCCTTCTGAAATCAACCTAACATGCAATCACACAACTATAAATATTCTTCTCAGATGTGTCTTAAAAAACTTAACCAGCATCTAAAAAATTCTAAGGATATTCATACATGCCCAGTATATCTTCAAAGAGATAAAATGCTCTTAAAAAGCAGAAATAAAATTGACACACGCTGCACTAGCCTGTCTTATGCATCTTTAGGGAAAGGGAGAATGAAAAAAAGGCAAATTTTCCTTTCAAAAGCTGGAGGAATATCTGTGCCTCATCCCAAACATATCAGATTCAGTCTGAAAACTGCAACATGTGCCAGCTGGCAGGGATGCAGAGACAGAAGCTCACTTGCTGCTCTGATGGATGACATTATGCAAAACCAGCTTGAAACAAAAAGGAAGAGGCTCTAAGATAAAGGTGCCAGTTCTCTAATTTAATACTTCAGAACCAAAATGATCTTAGACCAGGTTACTGATTCTTTTCACTCAAGATTCATTTGTTTATCCCAACACCTACATGACTTCTGAACAAAGCTGGCTCAGGTACAGTTCATCCATCTACTGAAGTATCTGTTTAGGTCATATGCAATCATAGTATCTGGGAAGTAATTAAATACTCAATTGTTAAGTAATCAGTCTTTAAAAGAAAAGGCATATAATCTCTTGAAGGTTTAAAAGTATGTAGAGCATTCATCTTAAAAAAAACCAAAACAGTAAGAAAGCTACATTAGCTGACATCAGCTGTAAAAAAAAAATCCTGAAAAGGACACACCCCATAACTTCATTGGCTGTTCTAACTGCAAGAACAGGAAAACAGTATGGAAGAAAAATTAGTCTGAAAGAACAGAAAACAATCATCTATTGGCTACCCCATGTGAAAAACAGGAATTAACAGCATCTACTGGCTGCTCGAGGGTGCTGTCCTACAACCTTTTGTACCTCTATGACATAAAAAATTACTTAGTTGGGAAATTTAGAAGATAAAAGCCTCTGTGCCCTTGCCTAGCATAGAAACTGACAAGCCCACAGTCACAGCCTCTGTGCACCTGCAGGTCAGATTTAGGCTGGGACAGCATCCCAAACAGAAATTTTAAGTTCCAAGTGCTATTTCACAGCAACAGGCATACACTGGAACATACTAGAACAACATATATTCTAACTGATAGTAAATCAGAGCACTAACAGCTAAACACTTCAGCACAACAATTTATGCTCTTACTGAGGGCAAAATGCGGATTTTGCAGGTGACTGGTTTGCAAATTCCTTTAACAAGGGTGGTCAATATCTGAAAAAAAAAGAGAAGACAAAAATCTGATCACAACGGTGGCATTATTGAAACTATCTTCCTCTCTCTCTTGAAAGTAAGTTAAAATAATGTAACACTGTTTACTATTCCTCTATAAAGAATCTTACATGCTAGACAAATATACACAATCTGTAACTCAATATACAATTTTATCCAGTAGATACACAAGACTACTTATAGTCTAAGACATTTTTACTGCCACTTCTTTGTTGATTTGAACTGGATTTTTAGAGACTAATTAACAGCTGCTGGAGTTTCAACACTGCTTTTAATATGACGTGACCAGTGAACTCTGATTTTAAAAAATATGCAGACACGTAAAACTCACAAATACTGCACCACACTGGAAGTTTTTAAACTGAAAAAAACCCAAAAGTAGCAGCTTTATAGTCCAGAACTAAATCAGGAATATTTATCTATAGCCTTAACTCCAGTGTCCTAAACTGATTATTCCACTCAAGCAATCACAAATTTGTTGTCTACGCAATTCATCCCTGCTGCCAGTAGAGCACAGGGCACAATTCTTCTCAAGGCAGCTCCAATCCCACCAGGTGATACTTACAGACTCTATTTTGTCAGATACTTACAGACTCTATTTTGTCAGGATCAGACAGCAGTGCTGCTCCCATACCTCCCTGGCAAAACAGAGAGAAGCTGTTACCCACTATGCAAACACATTTTTCAACTCAATTGTTTTGCCTAATAGCAGACCACAACAAAAGCACAATATTATATTCAGGGAAAAATGGCAAAATGTAAAATACAGGAGCATTACTGAACACCTTCATGCTACATTTCTTAGACCTGTATCAGAATAATTAAGCAGTAATTCAGGGCATCAGCTTGCTCTCATCACTTTAGGGAGCAGACAGGATTTCAGAAAGCTATTTTTAGCAAACATAATCATACATTTTCCTATTTTTCATCACTAACATAATTATGAACTATTTAATATTTTAGCTGTTCTTCCCACACTGTTTCATCTGCATACATAGATGCAGAGGCCAACAACATTTTTGTACAAATTTCTTTGACCCAGAACTATTGTTGGAGAATAACCATTTACCAGCACTTGTACTCCTGATCTTTCACCCTAGTACAAGATGGATATTTTGGTGTTTTGTTCTTAATTATGGTTCTGTGGAGCATTTGACATCAAAATGGAGTACCATGGTTCAATTTATTGATCCTTTATCTCTACACCAAGTGGCTTAGCAGTCCTAACAACCAGTTGGAATGCTCTGTTCTAGTCCCAGATACAGACTAATTTAGAACTGCATGTGCTTTATTAAAAAACAAACAACATTTTAAGTGATCCATTGTCCTTCCATTTAAAACTGACAAAGAACTGAATTCAGCATAGCTAAGCTGTGACTATATTTTGCTAATCATTTGCTCAGATGACAAATTGTGATTTCAGTTTTTATTAAGGCTAGGCAGAACTTATTTCACTCACCCAACAAATTAATGACTTCAGAAAAATATTAAAAAATACTAAACACTTCATTTTATCTAGCCTTTAAGAATTTAATTTTCTAACAGCCTATGTTATTTTACTGTATTAGGGCCATGACACCTTCCAGAGTGCTCCGCTTACTACAAACAATTAAATTTAATTTTTCATCAAAATTTTACTGCTTGAATTTGGAAACCAGACCATGTATTCTACACTCCATACTGCCAAGACAGAAAAAGCTCATTTAACGGTAATCAAAATCCACTTGCCTTAGTAGAGTATTCTTTTGGGCATCCCATGTTGATATCAATACCAGCCACATCACTCTCTCTGAAAGAGAAGGAAAAATCAAAATATTTTTTAGCATATTAGAACAAGAATCAAGAAACAGATATCTCGCCAGGTAATTTGTTCCATCATCATAAAGGCTTAAATGAGAACTTAAGGTAAATTTGAACTTCTGAATTTTTAGCTTCTCACTTATTTAAGTTAAATATATAAATCTTAATGATGGTCTGAAGATCAGATTCCTCAAAGGTTTCAATAACCAGTGCTGTGCAGAAGCTGCAAATACTCATCTTACATACCTTCTATATACTTAATCCCATATAAAGTATATCCACCACTAAATTTACCATTATCACTACAGCAAGTCCTATTGAAACTTCCATCTATACAAATGGAGGCTTAAAACCACCTTTTTAAGAGCCACTTTTAGTTTCTGCACAATACATTACTGGAGGCTTTAAACCCAAACAGTAAGGGACATTTTCAGGTGTATTGGCCTTGCAGCTGTGCAATACCCAGGGAAATTCATACTGGAGAGATCAAGGACACACTTGCACTAGCAAGAAGCCATCCCAGCACAGAATTTATGCAGCTGAACTTTTCTTGATTCTATCAAGAGCTACCTTGATGCTCTCAATCATAAAAAACTGTCTTCTACAATAATTGCTCTGTACAAAAAAAAATCCCAAACCCATGGTGGGAAGGGGGTGAGAGAAGATGACTTACACAAGCTTAGCTACTGCCAGGGCTCTTTCAGCATCTGCTGAACCCTGTTGGTAAAAGAAGAGGATCTATAATTACAATATACAATCAAATTAATAAAAAAACAAGGTGCTTACTTGCACATGTGTACAACTGTATTTGTTGTGAACATTTAATACAGACAGAGACCCACTGGATACTTAAAACATTTACCTACAGCACATACTGGAGTCAGCCACTGGATGATAAAAGATGATACAAAAAAGGATCCAAAGAGGTCTGTCTGCCCTCTTCACCTACAGCAATATCAAATGTTCTTAGCCCCTCAGCAACACATATTTATTTCAATGTTCTTAAGAAGCTCCACTAATAACAATTCTACAGACTCTACAAGCAACTTATTTCAGGGCTACATTACCACTGAAAAAGCTTTTTTCAGTATCTAACGCAGTCCACTCATGCTTCCCCCTTCCTCCAAGCCCATAATTTCTTGTCCTACACAGAGTGGTCTCTAAGAGCAAATTACTGTCTTTTTCTCCTCAGCACAGAGAATCTTTAATCCGTTTGTGCAATGCCAATGCACACATTAATCCTCTCTTGTCTATACTAAACAATGCTGCCTTGTTCAGTCTTTCCAGTGAGACTCTTTACAGGACAGTGCAAAACTTCAACGTGTGATCAGAGATCAGCACAATTTATATCCACATCCATAAGTACAGAAGTATCTAAGATACCTCCTACAAAACCAAGCTGCTATCTTAACCACCTCTTCTGAAAACAGCTCTAAGGAGAGCTTACAATGTAGAATCTTGATTTGTACCAACAGCTCAGAAATTCTGCAACACCTTTGGTGTGAAACCACCTCATTTAACTATGTTGTTAGAAGAATATCTCGTTCCTTACCATTTGGAAGACAACACGCTCTCTCTCCCTTTCACAAGTTCTGAAAACAACTCTGTCATTAGGTGCAACAAAGTCCACTGTTTCAAGTACTTCTGTATGAAATGAGAAACAGATAAAACAGGCAAAAATTCTGTACAAAGGTAAAAAATTTTTACAAGTCATATGACCATGTAATTTGTATATAAATGAAATGCCATCAAAGTCATTTGATGTTCTTTGAAAAGTACCAAAGCCCAGTGATGACTCAGCCAGAATGAACAGTACTATTTTTGGGAAGGGGCAGGAGGAGAGAGGAGATTTGTAGTGAACTTCTGTTTCCCAGCAGGGACATTGCAAACAACTGTTTCTATGCCACTCAGACAGGGCCAGGTCTCAAAGATACCTTTCTAAGAACTTGCAGTGACAATCATGTTATTCCAAGTCCAGCCCATGGACTTCAAGTTAATAAATGAATGATAAACAGTGAGGTCTTGTATGTGGGTGTGTATATCATCATGACACAAACAGCTAACATTTAAAAAGACACATAAAAAAAAGACAATTGGAAACTGTCTCTACTGCATCCAAACAAACTGGAAGTTAAAAACTAGAGCAGCAGACAGGTCTAAGGTAGCACTTCAAAAGCTTACTGTAAGTCCCTAGACACAATTCAGTGAGATTGTATGTACTGATACTTCACTATAATCCCTAGAAAAATGCTTCAGAAAAAGAATTACCCTTTCTCTTAACTAGAAAAGAGACTTACAGGTATTATCAAAAGAAATGCCATACTTACCATTTATAACCCTCTTACACTGCAGCATCTTTATGTCAATCAGCTCCTGAGTAGAAAGGATAAAAAAAATCTCAGTGAGATGAATTGTTTCAGCTCTAAACAGTTGCTCATTTTCTTAAGTAATTATCTAGAGAGATCAGCTTCTCTGAGCAACCTGTCCCAGTACCTCAGCACCCTCTGGTTAAAGAACTTCTTACTAATCTCAAGCTCTCCTCTCTTTAGTCTAAAACTTTTCCCCCTGGTCCTATCACTATCTGTCCTTGTAAAATGTTCCTTTCCCTCTTTTTTAAAAGCTCCCTTTAGCTACTGGAAGGGCCCAACGAGGTCTCCTCAGCGCCTTCTCTTCTCCAGAGAGAACAATCCCAACTCTCTCAGCCTGTGTTTGCAGGAGAGGTGCTCCAGCACTCTGATCAACACTGTGGCCTCTCTGGATCCACTCTAACAGGTCCAATAGTTCTTGCGCTGAGGACCCCACACCTCAATTTCAGGCAGCTTAAAAAAAAGTGTTTAAGAAACAAGGAGAGCAATGCTATGAGTGAAATACATGGATGTACAGCAGAACTAACCAGATGAGACATGAAGTCAGTCTTCAAAGTTCCTTCAAATTTCTGATTCTACTGAAACAAAATTAAAAAAAAAAAAAAACCAACCCAAAACCAAAAACCAACCTATCCCCCCAAATGCAAATAAAAGTACAACTTGAGGAAACTAGTATGGTGTTTTGTCTAAATTACTTAAAGTTACTGAACAGCCTTAAAAAATGGATTTGTCATAACTTGAGAATGGCTCAGAGAAATGCCTCAAGATATAGAGATTCTCCTTTCCTCATTTTTAATGGAAAACTATGCGTAAAAAAGAACAAGTCATACAATGAAAAAAGTACATTGTAGTTTCCTTAATAAAGTTATCAGAAAAAGCCTCATCTGCTCCTTCTCCATACCTCACAGTACACGATATCGGCACCATAGTCCAGAGCAAGCAGCCGCATTGGCAGTGTCCCCACCCGCACCATCGGAGCCAGGATCTTCTTTCCTCTGAAGCACAGCGGTGTGTTCACCGTCATTCCTGTTGCGGTACCACCTGAAAGGGAGAGCCCAGGGGGACTGCCACGGAGTGCCATTTCCCACCCGCAAACACAGGCGTGTTCTTTGCCGGGAAGGGGCGGTGGTGCCCCGCCGGCTGTGACAGGGCTCGCCGGGCAGCGGGGACCGGGCTCACCCAGCGTGAGGGCGCCGGGGGATGCTCCCCGCCCCACGGGCTCCTTCCCGAGCGAGGGGCCCCGCGCCGCCCCTGCCGGAGCCCCTCAGGGCCGCGACCGCTCCCGCGGTGGCGGCGCTGGGAAAGCCCTCAGCCGGCAGCGGAAAAGGGCGAAAGAAGGGAGCGGCACCGCCCGCCGCACTCACCCTCCTCGCGTGGCTCGGCCGCGGCTCCGCGGGGCGGGGAGAACCGGGGCCAGCGCCTGTTTCAGGCGTCATCGGGCAGCGCCACCGCCCCACGTGGGGCCGCGATGGCGCTTGGCCGGCTCGGGCCGGCGCTCGCCCTCCCGCTGCTGCTGCCGCGGCGGCCGGCGGGCAGCGGGTCAGCGGCGGCGGCGGGGAGCCCGCAGCCCCCCGGGGCCGTGGTGCGCGTCCCCTGGGCCCTGCGGCAGCGCCTGCAGCGGGGCGCGCAGCGCCGGCGGCGCGAGCAGAGGGAGGCGGCGGCGCCGCGTTCCGGGAAGCTGCTGCTGAGGAGCCGGCGGCCGGAGCTGAGCCAGCCCCGCTGGCAGACGGTGGGGCGCTGGGAGCAGCCGCCGCTGGTGTCGGCGGGCTGGAAGCACCGGAAGGCGTACGGGGATTACTTCCAGCTCGAGCCCTCGCAGGAGGCGGCTCCCGCTTTGCAGGCGCCGCCGGCTGAGGCGGGACAGGGCCCGACCTTCGCCGAGCTGGGGCTGCAGCCGGCGCTGCTGGCCGGCCTGGAGCGGCTCTCCATCAGCCGGCCCACGGCCGTGCAGCGCCTCGCCATCCCCGCGCTGCGCCGCGGCCGCAGCGCGCTGTGCGCCGCCGAGACGGGCAGCGGGAAGACTCTGGCGTACCTGCTGCCGCTGCTCGAGCGCCTGCTCGGCCGCCCCGAGGCGGCGGCGGCGGAGGCGGCGGGGCCGGCGGCGCCCCGCGGGCTGGTGGTGCTGCC